TTTTCATTAAAGCATTTTTTCCGGCGAAATTCAGCCGGGATTTTTTCCGCGCGGCCTTCGCCCGGCGGATCATCGGCTGCAACCGGGGGGCCGTAATCTCCAGAGGGCGAGTTTCAGCCGAATCGGCATTATATCCCGCACGCGGGGGTGTTCTAATGAAGTATCCGGGATTAGATGGTATTTGAACGAAACGGAGGGGCGTCGGTTTTAATTGATTGCTTCCCCAGATTTGCGGAATGTTATAGGGGGGCTCGTTGCGAAGGGCAATTAATTTTTGATGTGTTATTGCGCTTATTATAATCCTGATATGTTATGTCCCTTTTCTCGTTCGAAAATTGTTCGAAAATCGTTCAGATTTGTAGATGAAAGACGAATAACTTGAAGTAAATATTTTGGAATTTTAATATTTTTTAATCATCAGTGAATTGTATAAAACTTTGTGGTATAAAAAACTACTCGTTTATTCAATCTCTTCCACAAAAATTACAATTAGAATTAATCCCATTGAATCCAAGAATAGCTCAAAATTGTAAGGATAATAGATCCCCTACATCCATTGCAACAATTCTTAAATAAGTGTCTAATATAACATCCCAAGGATGAATCCTGAATATATTTTTCGTCCGAATTTCCCCCACAGCGCGCCGGCATTCGCCCGCGTATCCCCTTTTCGAAATTCTCGTTAAAAATTCCGTTTTGAAGTGGGTACTTTCCTTTCAACATCACAGGCATTCCCGCCCGATGCGGAGGAGCTCCCTCTCGCTGCGACCCCCCGATGTCTTTTCGTCGCATCAGATGCATTACATGACCAATTTAGCTCCTTATTTTCAGTTTTCCAGCGTTTCATACTTTCGTTACGGCGCGATTTTTTCCCGCCCAGCGGCGCCCGGGATGTGTTCTACTAGAAATCGTACAGGATGTCCCGTTGTAAGCAATCTTAAAATTCTATCTATTTTCACTCTAGGTGTATATTACATGTCTAATTAATAGTACTATAATGATTGTGGAGTATATTTTGAAGGGAAAATTTAGTTGGGATACGCCGCTGGTCGTACAGTGACGCTCCAACGACGCCCTAGCTGTCCGATGCAGACGCCATTTTGGACGCCATCGTCCTGGCCCTTTGTTCCGGCAATAAAGCTTTGTGGTACACGGCATGTCATGTCATCATATCATGTTTGAACATGCCTCCCGGCCAACCGGACTTACATATAAGCTTTGTTCCCTTCGTACTGGATTTCAACTTTCAACAGAGTGACATCGCTTTATGTAGTACGGTTTGTTGTTGAAAATTTATATGCTGGTCTCTTACGCTGTTAGTTGTTGGGTAGTTGTTGTTATTTATATGAAGTGAGATGGGTTTATGCGGTTAATTTTAGAGTAAATATATTGAAAATTAATCTGGAAAAAGTATCAATTTTAAAGATGTAAGTGCTATTTTAGTACGCAATTATTTCAAAAACTAATTGAGGTAGAAACATCCTGTTTATTTTACCTTTTAGAAAAAACGTTTCTCTACAATTTCTAAAGGATCAAAAATTTTTAGTAGTAGCTTCGTTTTCGAGTTACTCAAACATTTTCAAACCTAAGTACACATTCTCGAAAGTACTAATTTAGGTGTGAGACGAATTAGTACGCAATTATCTCAAAAACTAATTGAGTTAAAAACATCCCGTTTATTTTACTTTATAGAAAAAACGTTTCTCTACAATTTTTGAAGAATCAATAATTTCCAAGAACCGCTTCATTTTCGAGTTATTCAAAGATTTTCAAACCTAAATACACGATCTCGAAAGTACTAATTTAGGTGTGAGACGAATTAGTACGCAATTATCTCAAAAACTAATACAGTTAGAAACATCCCGTTTATTTTACTTTATAGAAAAAACGTTTCTCTACAATTTTTGAAGAATCAAAAATTTCCAAAAACCGCTTCGTTTTCGAGCTACTCAAACATTCTCAACTCCAAGTACACTATCTCGAAAGTACTTAGGTGTACCGAACTGTTTCTGACGACCACCCTGTACACTATATATGATCCGGGGGTGTAATGTCGGCAACAGAAAGGTCCCCCGTTCTCTCTGCCCCGTGTGTTTGTGCCAGAGTTCGCCGCATGAGTGACGTGCCCCGTTCAATTAGCCGGCAATATCCGCATTTAATTAGGAAAACTGTATTACACTCGCGAGAGCCGGCCCGGCATCGCTTCTGTATAATGTAGTGGCGAAGGGTGGAAATGCAGATGAAACGTTTACCGACCGGATAAACCGGCCTGATGTAACTGGCGTATTTTATACGGTGCTACTCGAAAACAACCAATATCTTTCGGTAATTACTCTGTTGATTGGTTAAAAGGTAATCTTTAAAAGTTTAGTAGGTATACATCATCGGGATTATTGTGGTGATTTTACTTTCTGTTTCTTGTCACAACTTTTGTATATTATCCTCTATCGTTGGTACCTTCATTTGCATAAACTAAAATCGTAGAACTATATAGTGAAAAATAATATTCCCTATAGACTCCCGGAGGAAGGATCGTCTCGCATTGTCGCATACTGATCTCATTTATAATATCTCAAATAACCCGACAGAACGAAATTACACCGGCTTCGTATCCCTCATTTCGACGCTCTCATCTTCCCGTTTTCTATGGCTCCGCTGCGAACTATAGAACGCAAATTCCCAGTGGCTTGTTAATAACAGTGTACATAATAAAGCACCCCGAGTGTACAAGCCAGCGTATGTACACTGTGGGGTGGTAACTCTGACACGGCAGACTTCGATCCTCGCCGCGGGTGCCGCCGCCGCCGCCGCCGCCGTCGCCTAGCAACGCCGATCAACTGTTCTCGACGAGTCCGTCGATGCTGTAAGGGCGGCGGCGGCGGCGGGGACGGGGGTGGTGCGACGACAATGTGGAGGAAAGAGGGTGTCGCGGGATGACGATGGCGATGACGTCGCGCCGGAGGCGGTGGAAAATGTGGAAAATTTTCCGATTTTTTTTTATGTACAAGGTGTTACAGGAAGGTTGGTGAAGTAAGCTGTCGAAATAAGCCGATTGGAATCGACTTATGTACCAAATTTAAGGGTTTCAAAAGTTCAAAAGTTTTCCTTAATGTAACAAATTCTCTTCTAGAGAGTAGAGATTTATTTGTTGTAACTAATAAATGTTATATTCTTCAATACACTCTAATTTTTATATCCTCAAGCTCCAAACGCACTTTTTTATGTTGAAAAATTCGAGTTTTTGAAATACAGCTTTCATTTGCGTTTTATATTATTCATAACAGCTATTTTTAGAGCTTTCAAAGCTTCTTTATGGCGCGTTTTTTGCCACACACACAAAAATTTACCTGCAAATTTTAACAACAAGCTTCCAGTTTCGTTACATTTCAATAACACTTCTGCTGTAAGTATAAATCGCAAGAAAGGATTAATTCTATTGCTAAATCCGCTCAACTAAACAAACGTTTAAAATCTGCGAAGAAATGCCTCGCGCACAAAGAAAGATCAACTTTAATCCTCTTATGTAGTTCGACAACATTTGACAATACGAACAGAGAAAAAATCGGCTTTTTCATTTAAACCGATATCTCTGTACCTGCTCTAATTCATTGTCAATCGTTTCGAAAGGAACGGATGAAACGAATCCTTTCACAATCATCATTCCACGCTTGTATGGTATACAATTTGTACAATTCTAGAATTAATATCACTTGGATTGGATATACTAATCATTCTATATAATCATCTGCTCAGCTTCTTATACATCGATTGCTGGAATATGGGAAAAAATACCCAACAAAGCTACCACTGTATTAAAAAACGATGAAAAACAAGTGTCTCGATGGCAAGGAAAAATCTAGTACGCTCTAATCTTGCAGTGCTATTGTGGAAGAACAATGGCGAAGATAGCACTTCGCTCGTTTTCTAGCCCGCTTTCGCCTCTAATGGCCCTTTCTAGGGCTCGTTCTCGAGGACGTGGAGTTATACGGATAGATTTTTTTTGCCTCCTTTTGTTGCGACGGGATGCATTTTCAATTGTAATGGAACTTTCGACGATTTTTTTCATTCGCTCCTTTTGTCGGTCGAGAAACGCGTAGGTAATTACGATTCAATGTTCTGCATGTATTTCATGCATTATATTTCGATGACTTGTTTTTTGTTTAGTTGTGATTATTTTATATGGGGTGTGGAAATGATGAACAAAAGATTGTGTATCAGTGTATTTAAAAATAAGTTTGAATGCAAGATTGCAAGTAGAGTAGGGTTGAATAGAATATGGTGGAGTAATCAGATTTGAAAAATAACGCTTATTTTGTAACAGTCGTTAATGCATCTCTAACCAACAAAATTATTCCCACCTCTACTAAAGTTCTGTCATTCGATATGTCATTAATGTCAATTTTGATATTTATTGTATTTATTTTTTGATTCACTTATTCGCGTATAATTCGAACAAAATTAATAAAATTTCGTCGAGTAGACTTGGGTGAGGAATTCCTACGTGGATATGGTGAGTATACATTGTTCATTTTTTTACTAAATGTTGTTTCAAATAGGAGAGATTGGAGAAAAAAATTGTCACTTTTTTTTGTTCAAATGTCATTTGAATAAGAAAGTTTAAACAATTCTTTTAATTCATTGATTGTACTTTAGAAATATGTATGAAATATGTATCTTTTCTTCATACAGGTTGCTCCATTTTTGATCGCAACATAGGTTATATAGGCCATGGGTGCGATAAAGACAACTTCCATTAGACACTTACAAAAGAAAAGGAAAGAGTGACATTTGTGTCATTGCAACTTTTCAATCTGACAACTGTCATTTTAGTAATCTTTCTTTGTTCCACTCATAGAAATGACCATGTTGCAATCGGAAATGGAGCGTTTAATCAATAAGAAACAATAAAAAATTGCATTAATAATCGAATAAATCAAACATTAATCGCAACAAACCCTTAAGTGCGACCCCCGAAAGCAACAAGATCCGTAATTAATACCATGCCGCACGCACGTCCTGTCCATATATACCATAATACATCCGAATACATCACGCACACATCTCCCTCGGTAACCCCGAGGGCTCGCGCGAGGGATTCGCAGGGAGAAACAAAACGATCCGATCCGGCGGAGGACAAGAGCGACGAAAGGGAGCGACACCCCTCGTCGGCTGCGTCGCCTAGCAACGCGGCCGCCCTAGGCCAGGCGTTGCCTAGCAACGCCCAGGTGTCGCGAGGTCCAATCAACACAGGCCATCTCAAGATCAATGTTTACACTGAGTGGATGTCCTGGACCTCTGGATGTGTGCAATTTGTCGCTAGCGGGGCGAAAGACGCGCGGACGAACGGGGCGGAGGGGGGCGGAAGGGGGCGGCTTCCCCGACAGCACCCAGAAGGGACAACGTTGATTGCGCTCACTTTTACTCTATACTTGTAATATCCATATTTTTATTGTTTATATGAAGGATAATATTAAATTTAGGGTAGTGTTTTGTAGATCTCTTATGTTGAAATATATGGATGAAAATAATTGAAATCAAAATGCTCTTACGAGAACATAAGTGGGTAAATTTATCTACCCATATATTGTAAATAGTGAAATTACATTAAATGTTTTAGACAGAGTTTTTCTAAGTAAATTGTAAATAATTTTCTCTGTATAGGTGCAACAATTTATTATTTTTATTCAGCAACAAATTACAATAACAAACCAGTTGAATTAATAACTAGATATCCAATTTTAGAGCAAATTGGGATGGATATTAAGGACAAACAGGTGCTCCGATTCTTCCGGGAAACGCCAAGGAATCGATGGCGTGTATTCTGCAAATCGACCTGTATCTATCTCCGCCATCGTCGTAGCTGTTTCCGTAATTGCGCCTCGAATATCCGTAATTGTAATTGCCGAATAGTCCCCATAATGGGCCCGGAGCGGCGTGAACGATGTCCACCAGAACGTGGATTATTAACAATAGCGCCAGTTGAAGTTTCATCGCGATTATCATCGGGATTCTTGGAGTGAACTGATTAGTTCGCTTCGCGGATTTTATTTTATAGGGCATTTTGTTTTTGCGTTTTTCCCCACGTGGGAACATCGAATTTTTGATATTCATTTCTTGTACAAGCCCGGACCTTGAATTACTTATTCTGATCTTCCTGATGTGACAAAGAATCATTTACATGATGCGCGTTGAATTAATAGTTTTATTACGCTTCGCGGGTTTTTATTGTACAACGAAAACATTTTCTTGTTACATCTACATGCGTCATTTCGTGTAATGAGAATTTTTATTTTTCAACTATACTTCCTAGAATCGAGAATCGTTGTGTTGTTCGAGATTTTTCTTATATATCTTGCAAACAACATCAAAATAAACACGCTGCTTACTCGGTTTAATTAAAGCAGCAAATTTATTTGACCTTCCAAAGATTATAGCTATTTAATTAGACACTATCAATTATCACTCGATGTCGAACTTTCCAATCGGCTACTTCGCAAATTCAAAATGAAATTCGCTTTGTTGCTGTTACTGAGTTGTTATCTTCTCTTCACCATCGCCGGGGGTGCTCCCAGCCCCGCGTGGTCCGCGACTGGATATAGTGGATACAATTACAATTACGATGGGTACAATTCGTATAGAAGAGGAAACGGTGGATATTACGGTGGACAAACCAGGCGTGAGTACGGAAAAAGTAGCGGAAACGAAGGAGGAAGCGATCGGTACAAATCCATTGCTCGAGTACACGCCGTGGACTCGCTGGCTTTCCCCGGGAAAATCGGGAATCCAGTGTACTTGTACAGACGATAAATGTATTTATTTTGTTATTATTATTAGTAAAAGTTTGTGGTGAATAAGTCCGAAATATAAATATACAGGTAGATATTGTGTCATTGCAACTTTTCACTCTGCCAACTGTCATTTTATATTGTCATACACCTGTCATTTCAAAACTTCTATTTGGCACTTACAAAGAAAAAAGAAAGTGATATTGTGTTGTTGCAACTTTTCACTCTGTCAACTGTCATTTTAGTAATCTTTCTTTGTTCAACTCATAGAAATGACCATATTGCAAACTGAAATGAACAAGGTGTAACACATTTACACTTACCTGTATACAGGGAGAATGTGAGGAGTGGGAATCGAAAAAAACAATGTAATTATATTTATTATTAAACAATATAATTTATTTATCTCGTTTGACAATATACATACATTTGTTTTAATAAACTATAAGGATTATAAAGCAATTCATGCGGTATTTAATAAGTCTTTCGTTTATTCAAGATACAAATTACTAGAAATATACACGAGTTAATTTCCATGTTTAAATAAGTAAATGTCGATGAAAATAATCGAATGCACGGCTCAAGCGAATTGAAAAAATTTTGCTTGAAAACTTAAAGTATTTTACGTTAATTTGATTAAATTCGGCTCGCTTATTAATCTATCGATTAATTTTAATTTAGTATCACGTGAACGGTGCATTCAAATTTATACTAAAAATATTCTTTTAAAGATTATTTAGTTTTAAACTTCTTTTACCCTTTACATAATTTATAATCTCCGCGCTTTTTCATACACTTGAAAGAAAGGAGAGCGATTTTTACGGTACTAAACATAAATAAAAAAAAAATAAACAAACAGAACGTATTTGAAAAGTTATTGGAACTCTTTACTGGGTGTCGATATTCCTAAAGCTTCTTCGTAACCGGAACTGGACTTTTTCTTCTTCTTTTCGCCTGAAATCCAACAGGAATTTCCGTAAAAAATTAAACACCTATAGCGAGATTCTGATTAAATTTAATACGCCCGGAAAAGTTGATCTCTTTCGAAGGTATTATATTTCGAAAATTCAACTCGATAAGTGGAACACGACCTACGTAAATCCTTGTGCTAAATTGTAATTTTATCTGTTTATAATTAATTATAACAATGTCATTGATAACTTCAGCATTTGATAAATATACAGAAAAAATATTTACAATCAATGGAGATTTCAAATTTAAAGGACATATAAAAGGAAAATTTCTTAATTATCTTCCAAAAACCTTGTTTGTTATGTATTTACTGTAGATCAATTTAATTGGATAATTTTTTGAAACAATAACATCATAGACTTGCCTTACCTTTTTCCTTTATATCTTTGGGTTTCTTCTCCTTCTTTTCCTTCTTAACTTCTTTCACTTCCTCCGATTTGACGACGTTATCCTCTTCCAAACCTAACAGATTAGCTTCCTTCGATTCCTTGGGGACTTTCGATTTATGCCTATCATGCTTCTTTTTACTAGATTTTTCCTTTACTACCCTATTGCTGCCCGTTGAAATTTCCTTCGGTTGCTTATCCTTATTGTCTTTGCGCGATTTCTCCTTCTCCGACGATTTCTTCTTGTGTTTCTTGTCCTTTTTCGCCTTCGACGGTTTCTCCTCTTTCTCCGGCTTGGCCGAATAATCGTACGCAGGCCTGAAAATAACGTCACCGGTTACTTCGATAATATACGGATCGGTAGGAATAGCCGGAACGTCTCCCGCTATTCCCGTCGAACTGTACGTACAAATTCAAATCGATATCCAACGCCCTGTGAGGATCGTCGTTTTGCGAACGATCGCTGTCACCGTCGGAAAGGGTCGCTCCTTCTGGAAGTTCCATGTCCCTTTTGATTTCTATCGCGGGACCTTGGTTGATTTCCTCATCGGAAGAACTAAAAATGACGTACAATTATCACGTGTACAAATTTGGATGAATTTGGAAAAAAATAACTGTTATTTTGTAACAGTCGTTCCTGCGCCTCTATGCCAAAAAAATTTTCCCACCTCTATTAAAGTTATGTCATTCGAAATGTCATAAATGTCAATTTTGATAGTTTCTCTTTATGTATCATCGTACGCATCTTAAAGTCCCACTTGCTCGCGTACGATGCGAAATTGGCGATTTCTCGTAGAATAGAGCGTGGAATTTCGGTACAGAATAAAAAAATTAGTAAAACGATCGTGTAACCTTTCGGATTTGTACTTCTTCTTCTTGCCACGCTTCTTCTTCGACGCTTTGCCGGCGTTCGAATCGAGGTACTTGTCCGACCGCTTCGGGCCCATCACCTTCAGCGGCACGTTCAGCGTGAGCTCCGCCATCGGCACGTTGTCGTAGTTGTCGCTGGCGCCGTTGCCGTTGCGCTCGATCGCGTCGTTCTTCAGGTAGTGCGGATTGTTCTGTTGCTCGTACTTCCTGGCCTCGCGGCTCTGAAAAACCGGATCGATCGATAAGTAATCGCGGCGCGATGCACGAACGGGCTCTCTACCTTTTTCATTTCCTCTTCGGTGGGTTCGTGGTAGTGGATGGTTTTGGATTTCTCCGGTTTGATGAACAGATTCTCGACTATCTCCGGTTCGCTGTCCGAATCTGTATCGTACACGGGATCGTTAATCCAAGCGTCTAAATCCAAACTGGAATGATACAGGTTGTATTAATACGGATTGTTTGGTAAAAGCGAGTCTCACCCTTCGGGTACGGGCACTTTTTTCTGCGCTTTCGGCGCCACAGGATTCAATTCCCCGCTGAACAAATTCCTCAATTCGTTCGATATCAACGAAGCGTTTTTATTATCACCATCGCCCGCTTCCACCAGATTATCGTTACTAGCATCACCAGATTGCTCTAAAAAAAACATCAAAACAATCACAACGAATCATTATCAACAAACATCGCGTACTCCTCTTGAACTCCTCTTGGACTATCTTGATGATCATCAACGAGGTGCTGGCCCTTTCTTGCACCTCCAGCTCGCCGGATTTGATGCTTTCGTTCAACTTATCGGCCACCGACGAGCATATCCTGAGGCAATCCTCGTACTGTTCGTTCGTCTCGTACTTGCGCACGACGAACGTGAACACCTTCAGGATGTTCTGGATGAAGACGGATTCGATATGTTGCGGCAGCATTTTGTACTTCGCCATCGCTTTGAGCGTTTGCTCCGGATACTTCAGCTCCCTGCGAAAGAGTCGATTTGTGGGGAAATTATTGGTAGTATTATATTATCGTTTAGGGTGCTTACTCGACGAATTCACCGCAGAGCCAAGCGGCCGCGTAGAGGACCTCCTGCATGATGGTGAACTGCGACGTGGAGGTGTAAATGTCCAGTATTTGGGCCATTTCGGCTACGGTGAACGAACGGATGGCTTGCACTCGAATGCAGACGTCCATCAATTGCGCCCCGATGATGTGGCCTGCGTTATATCGATTTATACAGCTACTTCTATGCGGTACGATTAATATTATTCACCTTGTTTTGAGCCGAATTCCATTTGGGCCAGTTCGACTAGAACGGTCACGTACCATTCGAAGTTCGTGATGAACTGGTAGTTGTTTTGGGAGCATATCAGAATTATCTTGCTCAGTAATTCGTCGCGGTAGACGGTGCCTTCGGCTTTGTCCATGTGCACCATCAGTTTCTTCACGATTTCCATGAGGTTCTTTTTGGAAACCTACAAACGATTTATTATTAATAGAATGCATAATCATCAAAATATTCACATCCTAAAGTATCGGCACTCAATTAATTAACACCGTGTATAGAATAATTGTAAAGATTTCTCACCATTCCGTACAACAAATCCAAAGCTCTCAATCGAATGGACTCGTCTTTATCTTCGAGGCATTGCAAAATAAGATCTTTGTGGGCTTGTACGCTTTTCGGATGGGTTTTCAATATTTTAGACATAGCTAATAATCCTAAATATTTCACTAAAAAAAAAAACGAGCAAGTATGAGTATGCTGATGTGCATATTGTACGAGCGACTCTGACTTACAATTTTGATCGGAATCTTCGATTAATATCCTCAATTTTTGGACGCAAAGTTGTATGCTCGCCGCATGATTGGGCATACCCGACGATATACTGATAAGGACAGCTATTACTGTATTTATACATTCGTACAGCAGGCTCATCGCCGATGTGCTAAGAAACGAACATATTACTGATTAGTACATCATTAAATGGATAACCGAGAGTGAATAGTGAGTATTTCGCACTATGCGTGAAATGTTCGAAATAATAAAATGAAAAAAAAAATAATAATGATGTGGCCGAGTGGAGGACATGCAATGTGCGAAAAGCCACTCTTCATTCCTGGTATTACACGAGGTTCCTTGTTCCACAACCACAAGTTAATATTACAAACGTTTTGTTTAGCAAACAAGAGCAAATTGATTCAAAAGAAACTTGTAGTGATTGTAGAAAAATTTACAAGTCTGTTCAAAAAAATCCATCTTACCTGTGTATGAGATTTGTAAGGGGTTCAATTAATTTTTTACCTAGCCTAGGTTCTAAAGGAGTAAGGGCACCAAACTAAAAAAAAAAAACAACACAAACTCAATAAATAGCTTCAAACAGTTTAAGCATTTAATTTTTGTATATTACATTACAAATACTTATGACAATTTATAATACAATTTCCCCATTTTCAACGTAACACTGTCAAAATAGGGGAAATATAACGGGTATAAAGGGTAAGTAAATAAATACCCTGTGTGATACAAAAGTATGATGATATATTTAAAAAAAGGAGATGAAATAAGGCGGATGACGGAGCATTTAAAATACCTTAAAAGCCTGCTAATAAAGCCTGTGCCTAATACAATAAACAATTTCTAAATTTAGAAACAACAAGACAATATACCTTGCAATGATATTTAATAAAGGTTGGCTCAATTTTAAGCCAACGGCCGGTTGTACTTCGGTAAAGGACGAAAACTGGCAGATAAAAAAATAAAATTTAATAAACACCACCATTTTACATATTCAAATTTACAATAAAAAATCCTTCCCTTAATGTATCTTAAATTGGCGAAAGGGTAATCTCGAAATAAAGATAATGCAATAGAGAGGAAACGATAAAACAAGATATAAATTCAGGACGAAATATTTCAACAAATACTCACCAGTTTAATGATTTTGATAAGCATCCAGTTGTTTGTACTTGTCGTCATAAGTTTGAAAAAAACAGGGGCTAGACTGAGATAGTTCTTGGGATTTTTCCTCGCCAGCTCGCAAACAACATTAACCGCAGCCGATTGAACTCCTATAAGAAACAAAAAAATATAAACTCATGTAATAAGAACACAATGGTTTTATTTTACCAGGATCAGGATCTTCCAGTTTCTCTTTTAGTTTAGGAAAGGCAGGTCTCAAGGCATCGGGATACTTTAGGAAAACTTTATACATCATTAAAACAGCCTTTTTTCTTATGTACGGTTTCGTAGAACTGAGCTAAAACAACAAAAAAAATGTATAAATATCCAGTTAATTGCGTTCAGAATTTATCAATTCTGAGTATCTATGTTAGTGTAAACAAACAAATTATAGAAAGTACATTTGTAACGTAGATAAGGACTTTGAGTTCAAGTTAACGCATTCAAATATTTACTTACCAAAGTTAGGATATCATTGGACAAATCTCGGGCTAGATCGGTGCTAATGTAGCAACTTAGAGACGTTAAAGCTAATCCTGCTTCGTACTGGTTTTGAGAATTCAATTCTTTTCTAATCATATTCGTAGTTAGCATTAATAACTAAAATCACAATTGATTAATAATTGATTGACTGATTGGCTCTATTGATTAATAATGAGTGAAAAATCACCTCTGAATCACAGTGAAAGGATTGACTAGCAGCCAAATATCCAATTCTTTTCAATGTAAACTTATTAGAGCTCATTACTTCTATTACGTTGAAACCTGCCCAGGATATATCGTACCCCAACATTTGTAACTGTAAATAAATAAATAAATAAATTAGTGTCAATTGTTAATTGATTAAATCGAACTTACATATGTGAGTTTAGCAATGGCATTGCTTTTAACTGATAGGTTGTCCTGCCTGAGTTCTTGTTTGATATCCTCCATGCATTCTGAAATGTATTTGGCCTACAAATAGATAATATTCTGTAGAAAGTTTCTGACATAACCTTACATGTTAATTTTTCATACCTCATTTTCTTTATTATTTCTGATGCCCCTCACAAGATCTGTTAAATTCTTATCAAACATACGTTCTATATTTCCTTTTACCTTCTTTAAAGCCATTTTTTAACTAAAAACCATTTAAAAATCGATAAAGAAACTTAGCATATTCGCAAACGATCAGTTTATTATATGTTAACTTACATTTTTGATGGCAGAAATTTTTACACTCGCAAAGTACTGTATGTATTTCATATCATATCACAGATTCTCGTTAATTGCACTGTTTTTGTAACTTTTTGCTGATAAATAAAACTAGTCAAGCAGATGAGAGATTAGAAACTGTCAGCCACGTTCAATCTGTCAAACTCAACAAGAAACCGCAAAATTATTGACATTGACAAGTTTGACGTTTTATTTAAACGTTTTTTTGTATGAAACAAATCACATTACACGAACAAACTGCGTTAGTGGAAATTAGAAATGTCATTGTCATTTGTCATTAATCACGTTGAATTGTGAGGTTATGTTTTTTGATTAGAATATTTAAATTACACTATTTTTTTAAGTATTTTATAGGTAAATATGAGTGACAGTCTTAAGGAATTATTAAAGTTTGTCCAAATTGGGGCTAGGCTTGATTTAAAAGCCATCGCAGTAGAGAATGTTTTAGGTAAAATCAAGCGTATATTTCATCGTGAACAATGTGATTTTCATTAACTTATGTTTTAGGATTAACAGGTTCAAAACAAGGTTTAGAATTAGTCGTCGAAAACGCGCAACTTTTAGTTTCATTAATTAGTTTACTAGAAGATACTTCCATTCCGATTGCCAAAGACGCATGCATGTGTTTAGTGAATATTTCGGCGAACGAAAAGGGGGCTGCGAAACTCGTCAATTTAGACGTCAAGCAGTATTGCCCACCTCTACAGAAGCCGCCGGATACTTTAATCAACCAAATTTTAAATAATATTTTCAACACGGAGAGCTCCATTGCCGATCAATGTTGCATGGTACTCTCGAATCTCTCTCGACCGTTACATCTCATAGAAACTATCATCGATCAGATCGAGAACAGCGGGAAGACTTTCGATGAGCTGATCAACGTATTCACTAAGATTGCGTATAACAAAAAAGGCGCCAAGTTGCATTACTTGGGGCCTGTTTTATCGAATTTATCGCAAAGCCGCAGGGTGAGGTTGTTCATTTTGGACAGGAATAAATGCGTAATACAAAGATTGCTGCCTTTCACAGAGTATAAAGAGTCTCTCGTGAGAAGAGGCGGGGTAATCGGTACATTGAAAAATTGTTGTTTCGAGGAATCATTCCACGAGTGGTTGTTGAGTGATGAAGTAGATATCTTGCCTCGGTTGTTGTTACCTTTAGCCGGTAATGAAGAATTCGACGAGGAAGATAATGATAAATTGCCTCTGGAATTGCAATATTTACCTCAAGATAAACAAAGGGAAGATGATCCGGATATTAGGTAAAATAAAAGTAAATTTTGTAATCTTGGTATAAAGCGATTTATTGTTTTAGGTGCATTTTATTAGAAGCTATTACTCAATTGGTAACGACGAAAATTAACCGGGAATTCATCAGAGATAAAAATACTTATGTAATATTAAGGGAATTGCACAAATGGGAGAAGGATAAACGAGCTTTAGCTGCTTGCGAGAATTTAGTAGATATTTTAATCAGGTAGTTTAATTTTAGAGTAATTAACGACCGTTTAATCAATTATATTTGCAGAACCGAAGAAGAAATAGGTTTAGAAAATTTAAAGGAGGTCGAAGTACCGTTGGAATTCCAGGATAAATTTAATAAAATTGATTTAGAGCTTGAAAATGATGAAGATCCAAAATCTACATAACCATAATTCTATAGTGCTTATTGAATTATAGATTAATTTTATACTGCATTTAATTGTGTAAAAATGACATTAATTATATTTTCATTATATTGATTATTTGAATTACACTTATCACACCTCGTCAATTTTAACAACATCCTGTGATTTTTGTAATAATTACAACAATATGTATTCAAATGAATACTGTTTTTTATACATCATTTTAGTTTGCAATATATCTTATTAGTGCGATAAAGACAACTTCTATTAGACACTTATAAAGAAAAAAGAAAGTGATATTTGTGTCATTGCCACTTTTCACTCTGACAACTGTCATCTGTCATTTTAGCAATCTTTCTTTGTTCAACTCGTAGAAATGACCATATTGCAAACTTAAATGAACCAAGGTTTATACAAGTAATTGTTCTAAATAAATAATCAGAATCAGCAGATATTTTTGGGCTTTTATTTGATTTAAAATACCATCCTGATGATTTTCGTGCATATGTAATATCTTTTGCAAAACATAATTACTTCCATACGAAATTTCCTACCCATGGAATCCTACTCAGGAAGTTTACCAAAATTTTAAAAAACACATAATTTGTTATATTACACATTATATTTCAACACTCTGTATATACATATTAACGCCTATTTATATTTAACTTCACCACCGGCATTTCCACCCCATGCGTAAGTACCGCTCGCTAAACCACTGACATCCCCATTCATATCCTTCGGTATGAACTTTTGAAAGGCGTCTGCGAAAGGCTTCACCATCATATTCATGGGATTCAACATGTCCAATGGATTTTGACCCAAAACGACCTGTTGACTCTGAAATTTATGTAAAAAAACAATCTCGTATAAAGTAAAAAAATAGTTGTAGGTATATGGGTAAGTGCAAAATTGTTTGAGTTGGACAAAGAAATAGTATTAAAAACGTTGGTTAGAGTGAGAAAGTTGCTATACCACTTCAATATCACTCTTTCTTTTTCCTTTATATGAGACTAATAGAAGTTGTCTTTGTTATATGTACTCATTGTTTACAAATTTGAAAAGTAGAAAAAAAATAAACTCACCAAAAGAGCCACAGTTACAATTAAAAAAGCAAAGCTTCTCATGTTTCTGACTGCTTTTAATAACCTATTTTTTTCGAAATTATCACGTTTTTATAAAAAAAAATCAAGCGGAAATGCCATGTATTTCTAAAAATTAAAGATAATTAAAACAATTTAAATGGCAATTTTAATTTATTATGCAGTTTTAACAAGACCTAAACCAATATTGAAGATATTATCTCTCGACGAGCAATGCAGATAATAATTGCACGTATTTTAATGAAATTCATTAATTTAATAATATAATGAATAGTAACCTACTGCATTTTAGAATGACTAATAAAAGTAAATTAAAATGGACGCGGTTTTACAATAATATCATCCTTAATAAAGAAGCTTGAAACTCTTGGAAATGCACCAGAAAATCATGAGTTTGGTAACTTCAATGCATGCAATAAAAAAACTCAAATCAATTAAACGAAGTGTTTATTAAACTAGCTCTAAAACCGTGTACAGGAATATTATTCATTTATTAGCTCCCGGCAAAACGGATAATCCCTCTTTGGCCATGTTAGAGAAGGTCTCTGTGCCCAATCTAATTGCGTCCGCTCCAGCCTTGGCCATATCTTGGGGGATTTTCGCCATTGATTTCATTGGATCATCACCTCCTTGAGCAACCACCAAGCACTGGACCTAAATTAAACAAAAATTAACCATTGCGCATCTCTCGTTTGCAATTATTGCTGCCGATTCGTACCTGAGTTATTTCGAAAATATTTTTGAATGAAATTGAAAAAAATCTTACCAAAAGGACTGCAAATAAAGCGGCGATTAATGCGAATTTCATCATTTTGCTCGATGGTTGTTGCAAACTGTATGCTCTTGTTACTGAAAGTCTCTCTTTATATAGGTGACAACTAATATTATGGAATTTTTTGTTCACCTAAATATGTGCTATAAATTGATATTTAATCGCCATTTTTTTGTTAATGCTTTAAAAATTAGCCGAAATACCCATTAACAATGCTACAATTTTAAAAATTGCATAATACAGCAATCCATTTATCTCCGATATTTGTTGATCTTTGTGAAATTGTTATGAAAATAAATTTTATATTTAGAATTATTCAAAAAACTAGGTAAGCAATCGAGGAAAGCGAGCAAAAAAACTCCCTTTTAAATGTAAAAATATTTTGCATTATCGCGTATTAACATTGTCGATTGACATGGTACTTCCAGTTCAAAGTTTTATTATTCTAGCTTCACCTGATTATAAGTATCTTGCTGTACTAAAAACCTCCTCTCTAGATTGCAAAGTGCAAAGTTTGTACTGATTAAAATTTAGGCGCATATTTGAGGAATTCGCTATAAAAAAATTACGCATCCGATTCAAATTTTATTTATTTCGCAGCAATCTTTACACGGGATATTTTTAAAATCAGCGCTTCCCACCGGCTGTAGATGTCTTGGAGCCTTGAGGTGCCATTCCGATCGTGACAGATCCACTTGCAGAAAATCCTCCTGAGATTTGTCCTTGCGCGTACATGGGCAATGAATCGTTTCCAGCTGCAACCGGCGAAGCTGTAGCTACATTATCCGAACCCATCTAAAAAATATATCTTTTAAATTGTATGCAGATACTGGATTATTAACATTTTAGTCTCAATTTTTGTGTGGAAAATGTTAGGTGTTTGAAAAAATTACTCACTAGCGTTGCGGCTGACACGATTAAAAATAGAACGAATTTTGTTTCCATTTCGTACGGGAAAACCACGAAGGGAAATAATATTTTTGCATTATACAAAAATATTTATATAACCAACGGCAGACAATGGACCAGGAAGTAATTCAACACAATTCGAACGTTCAAAGTGACACAATTGCGTTCAAAAATCTTTTTTTTTATTTTGGCTGTATTTATCTAATTAAACCGAAATTACTTAGATTTTCGCGCTTTATTCATAACTCAATTTTAGGCAATTTAATTATTTGCACAAAAATCTGGCTGTAATCAACTATATCCAAATATCTCGTTATTGCGCGATTTTATTTGCTAATCATTTCAAATTTTAGCCCTATATTTTCTCTAAAAATACAAAGAAATTGCAATATTTGCAAGATGTATTTTATTGTGTGATGTTATTAAAAAAATGAATATTAACACATAAATCATTCGAAATTGGAGGTCACAGTTATTAGCAATTACAGAAAAATTTAATGAAATTATTTTTATATCAGTTGCAATTTTAAAATTAGCGAGTAGATTACAACTAGTAAATATTTATTGGTATAAAAATTTATTCAATACGAAATGTGTTATAGATACAAAAATGTTTTTAAATTGGTAAGAGTCTATTGAATTAAAAGTGGGTATTGAAGGTTTTCTTAATTATAAAAAAATAACAAAATTTGTAAAATTTCTTTATTTTTATATCATTTACATTCACTCTATTCTCCTAGCGCAGCATCCTTTGGAGAACTTTTATCTAGTTTGTTCTGTTTCTCGGTGGATTCGGAAACGGAAAACCTAAAATAGACCAACATAAAAATTGGTATTATAGCATATTTTGGTAGATAAATAATACATTTTTTAATATCTCCAACTCACCATTACAATTGGCTGTTTGTTGATGAGAATTCACAGCAGCAACATTTCTGGGAGGAATAGAACTTGGTGTAGGTGAGACTATGGACTTCAAGATTGGCGAGCCACTGCAAAACTAAAAGAAAAACAGAAAATTTAAATATTTTTTCAAAAAAAAAACAAGTATTTGCATAATTTTCATTTTACCATAGCGACCAGCAAAACAACGAATAAACTCATTACGAATACTCTCATTGTGTGTGTTCAAAAATTATTGGAATAAATATTCAATTCATTTATATACTTCACTCAGATGCGGTCGATAATTTTATATTAGCTTTCATTTAAAAAAATGGGGCACCCGCTATTTTCCTACATAAAAAAATAATGCAACATTATAGATATTACAATTGATTTTTAAGCACAATCGAATGAATTGAAATGTCACATTAAGTATTTTCGTAAATAGATAAAAACATTCTTAACAACCGCGTAATCAATACGATGATAAGAAAAATAATCAAGTATATACATGCTAGAAATTTAGCTTAGATTCAGATTAAATACCAAAATGTCCCTGAAAATCCTCTGTCTCCTCTTCAGTGTAACTTTCGCGAAAGCAGCTGGTCAAACCGGCTGCACTATAACCGAATACAAGCAAGTCGACGATGTGTTGAAACGATGCACCAACATAACAATATCGAACTTGACCATGCCGGGAGGAATACAGTTGAAACTGGACTTGCAGAAAGGCTCCACTCTCACCTTCGAAGGAACCACGGTGTTCGAGGTGGCCCATTGGGAAGGCCACCTAGTAGAGGTCACCGGAGAAGGAGTGTTGGTTCAAGGAGCACCAGGTGAGTTAAAGTATGTGCGATTTATGTATACTTAGTAGCGTATCGTACGCAGGTAGCATTTTGAACGCACAAGGCGAGAAATACTGGGACGGTCAAGGCGGAAACGGAGGCCTCACCAAACCCAAATTCTTCAAGATCGGCACCACCGGAGGCTCGGTCTTCAGGCACATCTACCTGCTGAACTGCGCCCACTTCTGCGTCGGAATCACCGCCAGCGACGTCCACGTGCACCACTTCACCATCGACGTCGTCGCGGGTAATTTGGTAAGCTCACCAAAACCACCATCACGAACCAAATACCAGAGCACCCGTTTTACAGCGAGGCGGATTGAACACCGACGGTTTCGGCGTCTCTAACTCCCACAACGTGCTGATTGAGGACTCGGTGGTGATGAACCAAGACGATTGCGTGGTGGTGAACCGCGGCACCAACATGGTCTTCAGGAACCTGCAATGCTACGGCACCCACGGGCTGAGTTTCTCTGTAGGCGACAGCCACAAGGACGCGGTGAATGGTGTCACCAAAAACATCACCTTCGAGGATTGCCACGTCGCTGACGGCCTCTACGGCATCCATTTTAAGACCAAAAGAGGCACCGGGTTGGTGACTGATGTTACTTATAAAAACATCAAGTTGTCTGGTACTGTTATTGTTGATGTTATCGTTTCTTTTATTGATTTATTAATCTTTTAGGCATACAGGAAGATGGAATCTACATTAACCAAGATTACGGTGATATAGGGAATACGAGTAGATCGTTGCAAATAGCTAATTTGAGTATAAATAACGTGTATGGTTCGATGAATGGAGCATTAGCTAGGCCTGTGCATGTTGTTTGTAATGAAAATGCTTGTTCGAACTGGAATTGGTCTGGAATCAGCATTGAGGGAACTGGAAAGAATTATTGCAATTTTTCTCCTAACGGTTTCAATTGTTGAATAAAGTTTTAGATGAGATAAATTGTATTTAAAATGTTTTTACTGATCCTAAATTTGTGTAGTACCTAAGTAGTGTGTTAAGGGATTTCGTATAGGACCCTCAAAGGATAGTAGATAACGAGGAATTTAAAATTAAATTTTGCTGCTAAATAACTATTATCCGGAAAGTTCATTCGCCGTTAAATTCCGCCGTGTCGAAAAGGTGAAAAGTTTGCAATTTCCGGAGAGGAAAAAACGACGCGAACGAGAGCCCTTTTGTGTCGTATCACTGCGGGAAAATTGGCTTAGAACTTTCCATCTGAAATTCCCATATCGCAGCGTTGTAGATATTCTTCGGGTCCTTTGAACTGAAAAGTGCGAACGGGCGCTTTGTCGCAAACGGACGAACTTTCGCATCGGACACGAAATTTCCTTAAATTCGAGCGGAAAAATTAACTCGATTAATGTTTTATCGGATGCTGGGGAATTAATTGCTCCAGTGCACTCATTTTTACTAGTGCATATGAAAGTATTCTTATCGGTTTTTTTTGCCCTTTATACCTGAAATAGTCCAATCGGTGATTTATTTCCATTGTTGATGTATATTACATATAATTACTTTTCTTTGCAAGCTCGAGTACATTGTTTTGTAATTATTAAAGCGAGTTACGGTAATTTAACGTTGATCCTATTTATTAAAAAAAATGTTATCATAGCTCGTTCATTGGAAAGTTGCTTTTTAGTCTTACAGGGTAGTACAATAACTTAAAAATTATTCAAACTCAAGCCATCTTATCCATTTCGTCAAGAAGAAAAATACGAAAAATATTCATTTATGTCATGTAATAATTTTTGTATTCAATCAACAAATTAAAAAATTATTCTCTTCCAACAATAGCGACTAAAAGAAACCTGTACATATATGATTGTAAATTATTAAATTGTCACCCTGTATAGATGCAATGCGCATACAAAAGGATGTTTTTTAGTTATCCAATTATTGTACTTACAAAGAAAAACAAGTGTGAATATCTACTTTGCGTGTATAAACATGTAAGGCCGAATAAAAAATTTTCGATAAATTTATTATAAAAGTTGTGCGTACGATCGATTTGTACTTGAAGCAGCCGATACCATGGCAAAAGACATTGCTAATACCAATTACGAGTTTGCTAATTGTAAGTATTTTTTTGCATTTTTCATACAAAATTATTGAAATTTTCTTCCAGTGCTACTTTTTCCCGAGTTGTCCTTTAAAGGAGCCTACAGGGGTAATAAATATGTAACACTAATTTTATCGCTAGCCTGCCTGGTTCTCGTTTTATCTTGGTATATCAAATTTTTATGGAAAAGAAAATACCTGTATTACCACGCTTGGAAAACTCCGGGCCCTTTTGCGTTGCCTATCATCGGTTGCGCTTACAAGTTTCTTCTATCAGGAACCACCGGTAATAAATTACTAAACTAATACATCACATTAAAGCTTGTATTGTAGATATAATGCAAAAGCTCATAGAACTTCAGAAGCAATACCCCGATGTGATGACAATTTGGTTCGGACCGAAACTTATTTTTGGAGTCGGTAGACCGGAACACATCGAAAAAATCCTGACCAGTCCAAAAGCTATGAATAAAGATAATCTTTACAAATTTCTATCGTTTGTTATAGGCGATGGTCTTATGACTGCTAGAGGTTGTATATTATAATACACTGTTCTATCACTTCTACAGGATTATTCTTGTTTAATTGTAATTTAAGGTATGAAATGGAAGAAGCATAGGAAAACGATCATGCCGGCTTTCAACCAGAAAATCTTGGATCAGTATCAAATTGAGGTTTTCGCGAAACAAAGTCAAATTTTCGTGGATCTCTTGCAAAAACGAGTCGGTGATAAGAACATTGATTTAGTAAAAATGGCGGCTAATTGTACTTTAAGTGCCATTTGCCGTAAGTAAATTCGAATGTAGTGTTACTATTTATAACATTTTGGTTACTATTTTCATTACAGAAACAGCATGCGGATTAAACATTGATTTCCAGACTCAAAACCTGGATTTTGTAGACAACTTAGATAAGTATGTAATTCGATTCGAGAATTGAGGCTCTCTTAGATTTACCACTTTGCATTTTATGTTACAGATTAATGGAAATAACAACCTACAGAATTTTCAACGTGCAACACCATTTGGAATTCTCTTGGAATTGGTATCCCCTGAGCAAGGAATACGCTAAAGTTATTAAAAATTTTAAAGATTTCACCAGATATGTATGTTTCGGAATTATTCAGGTTCGTCTTTAATATCGTTAATTTTTCGTTAGATCGTAGAAAAAAACGAAGAAGCCTATCGCGAGAGGAAACAACGAAAATCTTTGGGCACTGACGATGGTAAAGGTAATTGCATAAATTAAATATTCTCTAAAAACTAGTGGATATTTTGTAGGATTACCGAAAACAGTGGCATTTCTGGATCTCATCAAGGAAAATTTCACTCACCAAGAGCTCCTCGATGAAGTAGACATCTTTATTATAGCGGTAATTTTTTGTTGTTAAGAAATTTATAGAAAAATAATGGAATATTTTTAGGGTACTGATACTACTGCTTTAACTATTTGTTGTACTCTCGTTATGTTGGGCATGCATCAGGACGTTCAGGTAAGTGAAATAAAAATACTCACAGTGTGTTTTATAGTGGAATATTTTGCAGGAAAAAGTTTTGGATGAAGTTTTAAGCGTAGTGGGTCCTGATCGAACACCTACCCCCTCCGATTTACCGCTCTTAAAATACACGGAAAGGGTGATTAAAGAATCCCTCAGAGTGTTTCCTGTCGGTGTGTTTTTCCTCAGAGAAATAGTCGAAGATATCGATGCAGGTAAGTACAGACTTAAGTATAATCTACAGTAGGTATATTATTTTGCAATTAATAGGGGATATGATTTATCCTGCTGGTTGTTCGGCGTTCTTCTGTCCTGTTCACATCCACAGGAACCCCAAATACTGGCCTGATCCCTTGAAATTCGATCCGGACAGATTTTTGCCGGAAAACGTCGCGAAAAGACATCCTTGCGCTTATGTCGCCTTCTCTTACGGTTCCAGAAATTGCATTGGTAAGATAACAAAAAGTATTTTATACTCCTCAATAATATCCTGATTTTTTTCAGGTGGTCGCTACGCCATTATTAACATAAAAACTATCCTTGCTATGGTCGTTAGAAAGCTAAAAATATTCACGGAATACAAATCGGTGGAAGAGATCAAACTTAAGTCGAATATAACCATCAAGTTGCACGATGGACCGAAAGTGTGGTTTGAAAACCGGTAGAAATTGCATGCCAATAAAGCAATTTAACAGTAGAGTTAAAATTTATTAATCAAACACAATTAGCATTATATCTAATTACGCAACAGTTACAGGAGTATATAAATATGAATATTACTATTTAATAACGAGAAATTAAAAATTAAATTTGGCTAATAAATAACTATTATCCCGAAAGTTCTGCCGGAAAATTGGCTTATATAGAACATGCCACATCGGACACGTTCGTGTAGAAATTTCCTTAAATTCGAGCGGAAAAATTAACTCGATTAATATTTTATCGGATGTTGGTGAATTAATTGCTTCAGTGCACTCATTTTTATAAGTGAATATGAATGTTTTCTAAACTTTTTGTGTACTTTATAACTGCAGTAGTCCAATCGATTATTTATTTTCATAGTGTTGCTGTATAATATATATAATTACTATCCTTTGCAAGGTCGAGTACATTGTTTTGTAATTAATAAAGCGAATTACAGTAATTTGGCGTTGATCCTATTAATTAAAAAACTGTTATCACAGCTCATTCATTTTAGGAAGTTGCTTTTTAGTCATACAGGGTAGTATAATGATCAAAAATTATTCTTTTCAAACAATTGCGAGTAGAAAAAAACCTATATGTGATTGTAAATTATTAAATTGTCACCCTGTACACAAATTATTGTACAAAAAAAACCAATAGTGTAAATGTATTTTGCGTGTAAAATACATGTAAGCATAAATAGAACATTTTCGGTAAATTTAATATAAAAGTTGTGTAAACGATCGATTTGTAATTGAAGCGGCCTATACCATGGCAAGAGACATTGCTAATGCCAATTACGAGTTTGCCAATTGTAAGTATTTTTTGCATTTTTCATAAAAAACTATTGAAATTTTCTTCTAGTTGGTAATAAATATGCAACACTAATTTTATCGTTAACCTGCCTGGTTCTCGTTTTATCTTGGTATATCAAATTTTTATGGAAAAGAAGAAACCTGTATTACCTCGCTTGGAACATACCGGGCCCGTTTGCGTTGCCTATCATCGGTTGCGCTTACAAGTTTCTTCTATCAGGAACCACCGGTAATAAATTACTAAACTAATACATCACATTAAAGCTCGTATCGTAGATATAATGCAAAAGCTCATAGAAGTTCTGAAGGAATACCCCGATGTGATGAGATTTTGGTTCGGGCCGAAACTTTTTATTGGAGTCAGTAAACCGGAACACATTGAAAAAATCCTGACCAGTCCAAAAGCTATGAATAAAGATGATTTTTACAAATTTCTATCACTTGCTATAGGCGAAGGTCTTTTGACTTCTAGAGGTTGTATATTATAATACACTATTCTATCACTTCTACAGGATTATTCTTGTTTAATTGTAATTTAAGGTATGAAATGGAAGAAGCATAGGAAAACGATCATGCCGGCTTTCAACCAGAAAATTTTGGATCAGTATCAAGTTGAGGTTTTCGCGAAACAAAGTCAAATTTTCTTGGATCTCTTGCAGAAACGAGTCGGTGATAAGGACATTGATTTAGTAAAAATGGTGGCTAATTGTACTTTAAGTGCCATTTGCCGTAAGTAAATTTGAATGCAGTATTACTATTTATAACATTTTGGTTACTATTTTCATTACAGAAACAGCTTGCGGATTAAACATTGATTTCCAGACTCAAAACCTGGATTTTGTAGACAACCTAGATAAGTATGTATTTCGATTCGAGAATTGAGGCTCTTCATTTGCCACTTTGCATTTTATGTTCCAGATTATTCGAAATTACAACGTACAGAATCTTCAACGCGCAACACCATTTGGTATTCTCTTGGAATTGGTATCCCCTGAGCAAGGAATTCGCTAGAGTTTTCAATAATTTTAATGATTTCATCAGATATGTATGTTTCGGAATTATTCAGGTTCGTATTTAATATCGTTAATTTTTCGTTAGATCGTAGAAAAAAACGAAGAAGCCTATCGCGAGAGGAAACAACGAAAAGCTTCAGGCACTGACGATGGTAAATGTAATTGCATACATTAAATATTCTCTAAAACCTAGTGAATATTTTGTAGGATTACCGAAAACAGTGGCATTTCTGGATCTCATCAAGGAAAATTTCACTCACGAAGATCTCCTCGATGAAGTAAAGATCTTTATTGCAGCGGTAATTTTTTGTAGCTAAAAAATTTATAGAAAAATAATGGAATATTTTTAGGGTACTGACACTACTGCATTAGCTACTTGTTGTATTTTTATTATGTTGGGCATGCATCAGGACGTTCAGGTAAGTCAAATAAAAATACTCACAGTGTGTTTTAGTGAAATATTTTGTAGGAAAAAGTTTTGGATGAAGTTTTGAGCGTAGTGGGCCCTGACCGAACACCTACCCCCTCTGATTTACCGTTCTTGAAGTACACGGAAAGGGTGGTTAAAGAATCCCTCAGATTGTTTCCTATCGGTGTGTTTTTCCTCAGAGAAATAGTGGAAGATATCGATGTCGGTACGTATAGACATAAGTATAATCTACGTTGGGTATATTATTTTGCAATTAATAGGGGATATGATTTATCCTGCTGGTTGTTCGCCGTTCTTCTGTCCATTTTACATCCACAGGAACCCCAAATACTGGCCTGATCCCTTGAAATTCGATCCGGACAGATTTTTGCCGGAAAACGTCGCGAAAAGACACCCTTGCACGTACCTCGCCTTCTCTTACGGTCCCAGAAATTGCATCGGTAAGACAACAAAAAGTATTTTATACTCCTCAATAATATCCTGATTTTTTTCCAGGTGGTCGCTACGCCATTATAAACATAAAAACTATCATTGCTATGGTCGTTAGAAAGCTAATAATATTCACGGAATACAAATCGGTGGAAGAGATCAAACTTAAGTTGAACCTAACCATCAAGTTGCGCGATGGACCGAAAGTGTGGTTCGAAAACCGGTAGAAATTGCACGCCAATAAAGCGATTTAACAGTACAGTTGAAATGTATTAATCACACACAATTAACATTACACCTAATTACGCAACGATTATCGGAGTATATAAATAAATATGTGTATGGGTCAAAGTAACCCGGCGCAATCGAAGGTCACACTTCCTCTTTCACTTAAATCGCATGCCGGATTTTACGCAATTTTTTCGGTGTGAAACGAATTTCGTTTTTGCCGAATCGGCGCGTTCCCGATCGAACGATCAAAAGAATTTTTTCCGATTTCAAAATCGCTGATATTTCCAAAGCGTGCCAGATGATAAGTAGATATATTGCACGAACTAGCGCTTCTCTCATATAATTGAATTTTGTATTTATATAATTAGAAACATCAAGCTATATTTGCTCTAGATCCCAAACAAACCTCGCAGATTCCGCGCCCGTTGTGTCTCTTTTAATCTCTTTTTCTTCGTTTTATGGCGACCTTTAATTTCGTTATAGGTAAAATGTGCTAATATACTCGAGTGGATAAACATACGAGGGATGAATTCCCGGTATTATTCGAACTCGAGTGCTAGGCCGAAGGCGTAGAAAATCGATAGGACCCAATAAAGCCCAGTAATTACCATTGTAATTTATACGGCACTCTTAAAGGTATCAAAGACGGGTCAATATTTGAATTTATACAAGACCTTATAACACTCTGAAAGTTAAAAATCACAACGAAACTTCTCGGTATAGAAGGGAAAGTTCGCTTACTGATCATAAATCAGTACAAAGCATGAGAATTCATAAATTAAGAGTAGGTATATATCCTGAAGATCCATTTTTGGTTAATAATAACAGCAAAAAATCGAAACCAAAAGACAAAAAACAACTATCAATTGACAATCGTTTGACGCATTCGATTGCTGTCATCACCCAGTCGCATTCCCACAAAATTCCCCGTCACAATGGTTCGAGCGCCAAGTCACCGATATTTCAATTAACATGACTCGAATGATAGCCCATCATGCCGTCGCCAGTACAAAGTATTCATCACGGCCGCACCGCCACCGTCCAAGTGGCCACCAACACGCAGAAGGATAAGAAGCTCAGCGTACTCGAATCGCACGGGTACTACCTCGGCAAGACCATCGGCACCGGTTCCTACGCGACGGTGCGCGTCGCCAATTCGGAGCGCCACGAGGGCAACGTCGCCATCAAGATAGTCAGCAAGTTTTCGGCGCCTGCTGACTACTTGAAGAAGTTCCTGCCCAGGTAAAACGCGCGTCAGTTTGTCACATGCCAAACGCTTCCGTCTTCCGTCTTCCGCAGGGAAATCGAGGTGGTGAAGGGCCTGCGCCATCCGAACCTGATCCGTTTCCTGCAAGCCATCGAGACCACCCATCGCGTGTACATCGTGATGGAGTACGCGGAGAACGGCAGCCTGCTGGACATCATCCGGAAGGACGGCTACATCGACGAGACGCGGTCGAGGAAGTGGTTCAGGCAGCTGGTGGACGCCGTGGATTACTGCCACGAGCGCGGCGTCGTCCACCGGTAAACTAATCATCATCTCCGACCTAAAAGAAAGCTTCTAATGCTCGCGCGAATTCACCTAGGGACATCAAATGCGAGAACATGCTGATGGACCACGATTGGAACCTGAAGCTGTCGGATTTCGGCTTCGCCCGCGGCAACATCAAGAGCAAAACGGGCCAGGTGGTGTTGAGCGAAACGTACTGCGGCAGCTACGCCTACGCCTCGCCGGAGATCCTGCGCGGCATTCCCTACCAGCCGCAGTTCGCCGACATCTGGTCGATGGGCGTCGTCCTGTTCGCCATGGTCTACGGCCGGCTGCCCTTCGACGACAGCAACTACAGGGAGCTGATCAAGCAGGTGAGCGGCGATTGATGTGTGTGTGTGTCGAGTTGCCGGTTGATTGCCGATTTGGTTGTTTGCAGGTGTCCAACAAGGTGAATTTCCCGAGGGAACCGAACGTGACGGCTAGCTGCAAGACGCTCATCAACAAGATACTGGCTCCTTTGAAGACGAGAATCCGCGTGGCGGGCATACGGGTCGATCCGTGGTTCGCTCATGACATCGCCGGTAAACTATTTTTATTATCTTTTGTCGTGTATTCGTCTTATTTGTGGGGAGCAATCTCGAATTGGTTAAACTCCAAGCAGTGTAGCGTTTTGAATACTCACTAAGCATGCTCCACTTGGATCAAAATAGACCTCTTTGTTCAGAAACTAATTCCATGTTCTTTCCTTTCTTTACCACAGATAAGACTAGTACATCATTGAACGTTTTGTTGTGTATTTGTCTTATTAGTGAGGTGCAATCTCGAATTAGTAAAGCTCCAAGCAGTGTAGCATTTTGAACATTCACTAAGCATGCTCCACTTGGACCAAAATAGACCTCTTTGTTCAGAAACTAACTCCTCGTTCATTCCTTTCTTTACCCCACATAAGACTAGTACATCATTAAACGTTTTGTTGTGTATTTGTCTTATTAGTAAGGTGCAATCTCAAATTGGTGAAGCTCCAAAAAGTGTAGCATTTTGAACACTCACTAAGCATGCTCCACTTGGACCAAAATAGACCTATTTGTTCAGAAACTAATTCCTCGTTCAGTCCTTTCTTTACCCCACATAAGACTAGTACACCATTGAACGTTTTGTTGTGTATTTGTCTTATTAGTGAGGTGCAATCTCAAATTGGTAAAGCTCCAAGCAGTGTAGCATTTTGAAAATTCACTAAGCATGCTCCACTTGGACCAAAATAGACCTCTTTGTTCAGAAACTATTCCTCGTTCATTCCTTTCTTTACCCCACATAAGACTAGTACACGATTAAACGTTTTGTTGTGTATTTGTCTTATTAGTGAGGTGCAATCTCAAATTGGTAAAGCTCCAAACAGTGTAGCATTTTAAACACTACTAAATCAATCCTGGAGCTTCAACCAAACATGCTCCACTTGTACCAAAACAGACCACTTTGTACAAAAACAGATTCTTCAGCTCACTTTAACCCCACATGAGACTGGTACACACGATCTAACGTTTCCCTCTACAATCTCGAGAAGCAATTTGTGCGTGGATTCGTTGGGGTAACTGAATGTTCAGCTATGTTTCAGGGACAAGTCGCGAGAGAGCTGACAGCGACGGCTCATTTGCAGCAGACGACAAGAAACTCTCCGTACTCAGTAAAGACATTGAACCCGCCGCTCTCATAACGAAGCAGCCGGTGGCGCTGACGCCGTCGAAGCGGGCGGCGAAGAGCAAGCGGCGCAGCACGCTGGAGGAGACGTCGATCGCGGCGAAGGACTTCGGCGTCGACGAGGACAGCGCGAAGAGGAAGAACAACAACGAGAAGCCGAGCAAATAGGCCCGGGAACGGCGGCGGTTTTGGCTGGGATTGCCGATTCGCTTCGACGCATCCATTGTAATAATGATATTTATTGTATGGAAACTAATAAAAATATGGGAAAAATTTGCACGATTTGTTGTATACGCTACTACAGATTGATTTGTTTAATTTAGAATTTGCGGCGAAACGAAAACATTTCTCAACTTCAACGATATTGTGAGGATCAGTTTGATGTAAGTTCGTATTACAGCATAGCGCATTTTTCTTTACTGTTTTGTTTGTATCAAAGGACATTTTATTTTTGTCGCGTTGTTTTGATTTGTTCATTAATCTAATGTGAATAATGCCGTCACAGCTTGCGACATTGTATCGCATTTTTCGTCGATAACGCGTTTATCTTTTGATTGTGATATTGTAATTATTGTTGTAGGGATATTGGGCGTACAATTAAATAATTAAATTTTGAGCAAATATTTCATATCTAGCAGGAGTATTAAGTTCTTTATTTCTTTTAATTTCGGGATTACTTCTAGTACAATAACACCTGCAGAATGCAACTTATATTAATGCGCTAAAAAAATAAAAAATGTTTTGTATAATTTGTATAATTGAGTCAAATTTTGCCTAGGTTTTTTGGAATATATTAATTTTATTCGAATACATTGTGAAATAAGCCAAAATCGTGTAATATATTGTTTTTATTTTTACAACAAGCCGATAAACTTGCGAGGATTAACGAACTCTAATTCTGATGTAAATCCGATCAAGTTTGTATCGAAAATTAAGATATAACATTGCACAAGTTACGAAACCCGTCAAATTTTATTATGAATTTCTCTCTTAAATTGTTTATAATCAATCTGATGATAAATTTATTCAGCACAATTTAACACTTTCTGCAGCTGCTATAAAAAAATATGTAATTTTCTTCTATTAAATCAAAATATTGTATTTCCCTATTACGGAACTCGTCAATAATGATGCAAGTTTTCCCAAACTTCAATAACACTCATCTCGGCTATCATTATTTTTTCCAATAGATTAAGGCGCAATTTCTATCGAATTCCTTATTTTACTACGTCTTAAAAATACCACGCACGATTTCGAATTCCAGGATTGTAAAATTGTAAAATGCGCTACAAATCTGTAGTATATAATACAATATCTCTTTTACAATAACTGATTAATGTATACACGATTCGAAATGCGGTTGATAACATTTAGACCTTCGTGTGTATTTTGATATGAATGAATTTAAATTCGAAAACTTTGAAGATAATTGGCGATTTATATACGCACTTTAATCATTAAAAAGGTGTGGTTCTGTTCTCTAATATATGAAATAAAATTGATTTTTTATCGGGGAATTACTCTCATTTTTATACAGTAAAATCCAGGAGTAATTTTAGCAGGATCCAAAGTCCACAGAAGAAGCCAGACTATTCAGAATTTCCACAGCCGATAAAATCACTCAATCATTCAAGTTTGCAAATATGCGAGTAAATTAACACATTTTTATTGTACCTTATCGAATAATTCGTGGGCTTTTGGGCGTCAAAGTACTTAGGAATGATAATGGAAATTGTACATTCCCCGGAAATCAACAGTTTAATCCTTCGATAAATCGATAAATCGTGCAGGAATGATAAGCTATTGTGTACCCAATCCTTACATCATTACATTGTGTTTATTTTATTATTTTAGTGATGTCACTTGCGAAAATACTGAAATGTTGCAACTTGTGCAATCAGAAAATCGAACAAACCCTATAAAAAAACACTAGAATTATATTAATAGCTAGTAATTATCCATGACATCATCTATAATGAAATTCACCAACTATTTTGCGACAATCGCTATCTTCTCCCCCGCTAAGTAAATAATGACCTCATCGGGTGTTCCACTCGAATTTTTCCCGACTTTTCCCCCAACGCATTAGCGCCAAATGCAAAAGTTTGATTCACTCGATTATCCGCGAGATATCGAATAATTGCATAATTGCGATTAGGAGAGGCGCCGAAACGTGGAGGCGGAATCCCCTCGGCGGGTCTTCCGAGCGAACGGGTTTTCTTATTTTCTTATTATCTTCCGGAGGTCGCGAGATTTTTCCGTCTCAATAGGACGGTGCACAATAAATAGATATGAATTACATCGCGCGACTGACAATTCGCCGGGAAGCTCTCTCCCACGTGAACTTAATGGCATTTCCTCGGCTATCAATCTTCGGCGATTTTTGTATCGCAGGGCGGCAATTGAGCGGAAAAGCTCGAATCGCAAGCGCTCGAAATAGCCGATACTAATTGATTTTTTTTTTCATAGAAAAGTTTAAATTCACCATTTCTAATCGACTTTCGAGCACTTCAAACGCGACCTATTATCTAACACTCGCTTGTACAGCGAATTTTCTTGGTCTTACAAAAATATTATCTTATCGAATTGCGCCTTTTTTTTATAAAATCGAGCGCTAGATATGCTCGTTGTGAAATAGGCTGTCCCACATAAAACTCGATATTAAATAATATTGGATAACTCGCTTCATTCACCGATTTATCAGCGAACTGTTCGCGGATAATTAGTTCTAATCGCGAGAATTTTTTCCCAAATTAATTGCGAACGCCTCTCATGAGCAACGCTCGTGGATGTAGTTTAATTAGACGGGTCTTATCGCCGGAATGTATTCATCACCCGCATAATAAATAAATATCCGAATAATCGTCTGGGATTTCGGTTGGATTTCCAATTCGCGGGTCAACAAATAATTCTCATCTCATCGAGATAAATCGAAAATTGGCTTACCAGCCCTTCTGGTGAGCGGAATAAAAATATATACCGGAAAATCCCGTTTGCACTATAAACACTTAATAGCGGGTAATAGGCTATAATTTCCGCTTGGTAGTGGCTGATGCACCGAACTATATAGGGCGCACCGAAATTAATACAACAAATTCTAACAGTAGTTTTTCCATAAAACAATCGAGTGGTAATTGAAGTAATTTTGTTGCATTAATTTACACTGTGTAATTGCGAAGGCAAGTAAATTTGAAGCGTGCTAGTAGTCACTACTGATCCATAAAGTATTTCTCGTGTTCCGTGAGGCATCATGCTGACAGTGAAAACTCGTGTGTTTCATTTTCACAACCTGCTTTGGTGACAATCGAGAGCTGCAAGCGAACGTTCTGTGATATTTGATATTTTGTTCAAATCCAATATGAAAAACTATCACAGTAAATCCTGTGCTATACGAGCTTCATAATCGTAAACTAAATACCCGCTAGTGTAGAGTATAAATGAATAATAAAGAGTTAATTGTCTAAAAATAAGCTACAAATCGATGCTCGTCTAGATAATGAGAGTTTTTCTGCGAATGTTGGGTTAAGGAATGTGATTGAAGATTGAATTCGCTGTAGAATTATTCCCGATCACCCGACGAATGACTGTCACATGTATGATTGATCTCGCTCGCGAGTTCACTATCTTATTACAGATTCAGCTGTTAATTTGATTTGATTAACAAATTCGCGGTGTCAATTATTATCGATATCCTTCATCGATTTTTTTTTGTTACTTTACATTCGGAATTAGATACATTATAATCGTGCTCGGGTCAAGTTTATCGTCTAGCAACTCGAATTAAAAAAAAGAAAACCGGAGATATTCTTTAATTGGTTCATATCTCTTAATTACGCATTAAAAAATTCTGATTCGACTAGTTAATTGATGCACCCTGTAAGTCCTCACTTTTTTTTTAGTGTACCTAACAATCTACAGAGCATTTATCAATTTCCTAAGCAACTCCGTTAGTTGGGAGTAGTTTATTTAACACGTCCCTGTCCGGTTCGTTTTCGAATCGCAAATTAATTTCTATAATGAAGTTCCAGTTCGTAATTCGTAACTGCAGCAGTTCGTAATTCGTTTATAGTTTAGCAATAATCGCAATTTGCGAGCGCACTATCCGTACGGGTATAAATAAAAAGAAACTTGCGTAACTCATTCAACAGTATTTGCAAATGCAGCTCTAATTGCGATCGAACGAATCGTAAATCGTTCGGATTTTACACACACACGTGTGTTTCCCTGCTATTTCCGAAAATTACTCCAAGTTGTAGAATCAAATAGCAGACGTCGGCTCGGGTGTCGAGCGGTCAACGAATCTAATATATCGAATTTCTATATTCACATGCTTTTATTTATTTTTCGCGATTTTGAAACCGCTACGATTATTAGGAAATCAGAATTTACCTTTGAATTCATTACTGCGATTTGTTAACTAACAAAGTAACAATGTTGCAAATCGATCCCATCGTTAATTGGGCTGGTAATTTATCTCACCAGTTGCATCTCCTTTTAACCGGACATCCCGGCAGGTTGCCAAAGCGCAAAGTCAAATGCATTAGCAGGCTTTTGAGACTCGTGGAGATTTTTTTGGTGGATTCTTCAAAGCCGATGACCCGTTTTCGCCGATCGATAGTCGATCGAATATCAATCGATGAAATTCGCGCTGCGGTAAAAACTCGGCGATGTTACATCAGCCGAATATCGCGGACGAAATTGTAATCTACCTTCGGAATTTTATCGGGGGGCCTTTTTTTAGCTTCGAGTGAAGATAAACCGGAGGATTTGAAATAATTGCTTAAGTAGATGCTTCAAGGAGATGAAATTACTCGCGAATGGTTGGAAATTTCAACCGGAAAATGAAGAAAACTTGCGAATGTAGCAGTGCAGAAATTTGAATGATTACCTATGAAATTAAATGTAATAAGAAACTTTATATTTTAATATATTCAAGAAATGGATCATCATACAAAAAATTAATATCCTAATTCTTAACAAATTAGAATAGATAAAACCAACTGGTTACATTCCATAAATTCCATACAAAACCAATTATAACTATACAAGAATTAATGTTAACAAGTAATCCAGCAGGAATTTCAATACACTCACTTATTCCATTTAATAACTATAACAATCTATGGATAATTATACTAGTTAATAACAGCATAACAGTACACCTAGACTTTTTTATGCTCCATTTTTTTTTACAAAATGAACTAACATTACGGATATTTCATCATGCTGTTTGATTCGAGCATCTGCAAATAGAAAATATAGGTCAATCGTATGCGTTATCTAACACTGTAAATAAAGTTCTCCGGCACATTTCAGTCAAAGCTAGTTTCGACGGGTGGTTTTGGCCGAACGAAAAATTAAAAATCCAGCCGAGCGGATTTTTCTTCTTCGCCCCGCGCGGAGGATATAAAATAATATCTATCCGTCCGGCACGCACGCCCGGCGCTTTATCGCGCTTGTATAAAACGCAAGAAAGCGCGCTCAATTTCATCATTCAAAAAACCGACCGGCCAGAAAAGTGACGATAACGAAAATCGACGGAAAAAATCAAATCGACGAATAAACGGAGTTGAAGTGCAGGTGGTAACGCGAGCTCGATTTTCGGGAAGTTTTCGAGGTTTTCCGAGCATCATGAAGTCTTCGGTGGCGGTGTTCGCTATGCTGGTGGTGGTTTGCGGGTTCAATCACGTCATCGCCAGGCCCAACAGCAGGTAGGAAATAATTTTCAACTTAAATTTTAAGTTCAACTTAAACGCGCCTAACTTTTATTGCGTAATTACTGGACCTATTTAAAATTCGATTCTATTGATAACAACAATCAAAATCCTAATTAATTTTACGAAAACTGCAGGTATCTTTAATTATTTTTTTCAATCAAACTATATAGAACAATCCGTGTATGTGTATAGTAAACAGTAACTTCATCAATTTCTGAGTGGAAATCTGGAAATTGGTCTCGAAGAAAAAGTCATGAAAAATAAACGAAACCGGGACCGGCGGAGCTTGAAGTTGGAAAATCATCGAGGATTAAAAGCTGCGTGTGTGTCGAGAAGGAACATCCGCACGCGTTTGTTCTTTCATGAATTCGTAATGATACATATACGCACCGAGAAAATCGATCTTGTAGGCGAGTTTTAACAAAAACCCCCTGAATATTTCAGTAGCTGATTATTAAAGGAATTATGCTTAATCGTTAATAAATCTTGGTGATGGGAAAATCAATGCTCCTCAAAAATAACCCCTTGTTAACAGGCAAATTTTATTTTATATGCTCGAAGAATCTTTCTACTTCAAAACTTTTAAAACTTACTACTTAAAAATATCTCGTTAAATACATTACTCAATTCTTCACATTGCTAAATTTTACACTATATTGCAAACAACTTCTACCTGTATACAATAATAAATTGAATCGATTCTTCAATTTGATTAGCATAGGTTCCTTCCGCGGCTTTATTGGACTCGAAATAATCAGCGATAGCATCCTGCTTATAAATCGAATTTTTATATATCCGATACGAAATCAAATAAATAAATTCAGCGCTGCATCGGCTCCGAATATCCCTCGCGTTTCGAACAACATTTATTAACTTCCTCGAGTAAACCAGACAAGAGTTCTTTCTCTTCTGCATGGGTTCGGAAAGATTCAATTAAATGCGAGAGATAAAAGTCAATTTTGCCTTCTGTAATATTTCCGATCGGTTTCGTTCCTTCGACAACGCCACTCCAAATATCGCTAACTCGATTCGAAAGTCGAAATGAAAAGAGGAAATGATCTATTAGTGATTTAATGTTGCGCCTTCGATATTAAAAGGGTAAAGGAAATGGAAATATTTGATTTGCTTCATTCGCTTAAATGCACTACTTATTTACATATCGATATTTAACAAATTTCTGATTAAATTATTGAGGAAAAGCTCACCTCGTATATGAGGAATTGTTCATGGGAATTTAGTGGGTGTATATTAAATTGCACCGAAGAATTTTAGAGCTTGGTAATATTGTGTGTTGCACAGACACTCCGCCTGTCATTTCCCCCATTGTGCAGCCCTTAATATATTCCGACATTCATAGACCTAAAAGTCTATTCATAGATAAGCGTGGATTCTTGTTCGAATTTCCTCGACTAGTGGAGAAGCGTTCTTTTCAAATGCGAAGTGGAAATATAATTTTCCGACAACAATGCGTTTAAAATATAACGTTCCGTCATGAACACGCCAATTGAAGGAAATTCGCCCGTTGTGGGACGAATTTTTGATTCGATTACATTCAATTGGCTGTCGAAAATTCCGCCATCGATAAAGGTAAATTTGATTTTTCACCGGTATTAATGTAGATCGAATTTTTCGTTTTAAAACAATACTGACAAACAGCGCGGGTTTTAATTTGCATTTCATTAACCGCACTATTGTCATATAATTCGAATTCGGGAAATAAAAATGTACCATAACAATAAATAATAAATCGGTTCAAAAATTCACTCCCTCTATCATCTATTTTCAACCAATTTTTTTTATTCTTCTGGTATTTAAAATAATTCGTTTATTACAGAATAAAAAGGGTGTCTGATTCTCACCTGGCAGATCTCGAAACAAAAATCGCCATGAATAACAGAATAAGGGGCTTTGCAATAACTCTACCAATAGGAGGAGGAAGGATAGATCCCTCTCAAATGTAAGTAAAATTTTATCAAAAAATTACTCATTTATTTGGATTTATATACATGCATACAGACCGATAGAAATAGCAGTAGACGTGACAGTTCGTCTGCGGTTATTTCCGAGGGGCTGTAGTCGGACCACTCTGTATATTATTGAGAGAATCGAAAGAGTGTCGGAAAATAAAATGAAAAGTCTAGTTTTTGTCACGTTTCAGTTCGTGTCGTAGAGGGAAAAAATGTTCGAATCGTAAAACGGACCGTATCGGGAAAAACGCCTTTGAAGATAGAGAAAAGGATAGTTTACGAAAGATTCCCTAGCAGCCTTTCGGGAAATTCGATAGCGAAACTTAGGCAAAATCACCTCGATGGTATTAAGAAATATTTATTTAACAATTTGGTGAAGAGTATTATTATGATGTATTAAGACTTTTTTTTTAGTTTTTTAGTAATTTATTTATTGTACTCGTGCAGATATTTATTTTTGTAATAAAAACTTTTAATGCGATTTTGATTTGTTTTATTGTGGAATAAATATTTCTTGGCATTTTGCAGATTTGGCCTGATAGTTTTTCCTCTACTAATCTTTATTTAATATACAGAGTGCCGCACTACAACAGCGCTTTGTTACTAAATTAAAATTTGGATTTTTTTTAATACTCAAAAAATTTATTAATTATTTTGATTTTAGAGGTAGGAAACGTCGATCGGATTCGAGACTCTTAAAACCTCTATTTGAACAACAATCTGACGACGACAACAACGAGGATTACTCTTACTTTTATAACTACAATTTCAAAAATTACTAAAATTAATTACAGGGATGAATTCTCCTATTTCGAAAAAAAAAATCAAACTATTATCGTTCACAAAGCAATGGATATAAAAATATTTGAAAATGTTACAAAAAATCTATGTGTATTTAACTGTTGAACTATTTATGTGGCGGAGAAAAAGGGGACTGAAAATATTAATTCTTTAGAATCTCTTTAGAATTTTACATATCAATTGGATTTATGTTAACTCGTTCATTTTTCGTGAGACAATAATTAAATATTTTGGTAAGGATTTTTTTACAAAACGATATTGGCAAATATTAAATAGCTGGTTGATATTTGCAAAATATTTGTGGAAAATTTTCTAATAATTGCGTAAAATGTTACGTCAATTTGTTATCTATCTCTGAAAGAAGACAATCATACTTTATTTAATAATTTCCATCTATTTTCTATTTTAACGCGTTTATTCAGTAGATTAAAATCCATAGAATATTCATAATTTTATTTGAATTTATTAATATTTTTCGTCCACTTTTACACCATCCGAAATTGCATTTACATCTCAGTATTACGATAAACGTTCTAGTCAATATTTATTTCTAAACATTAAACTATTTTGTAAAAAAACTATGTTAGGGCATTAATTTTTCGATTTTTCTTAGTTTTAACTTAAATAGAATGTAATCTTATTTATTTTATGATTTTGATACTTCCGTCTTCTATTTATATATTTATTTATTTATGTAATGTATCTAATTCTTGTAATGATTTCGATGCAATAAAGATTATTTGTACATTATGTATTATTGTGGCATTTTGTGAAAATAGTGCCACTCCGGTCCTGACCACTGTGCAAAAAGTTATGCAAACATTCATACAGGTAGGTAAAGAGTATTGCATATCTCGATTATTTTTATCACCTCGTTAATGTCAACAGTGTCAAAATTGTTAAAACTGTCAAGCACTAAAACAATAACATAGAACCATTAAAATACAAAAACAAATTGAAACAATAACAGTTTAATGTATGAATTAACGTGCGTAATACCTTATTTTTTCGATATTGTATGTTCCTGAAGTACAAAAAATGTTTTCGGATGATTTCTATAGATATGCTGTGTTGACACCTAATTTAAATGTAGTTAATACAAGGTTCGTTTTTATCAATTTATTGATATATTTTACTACTAGATTTTCTATTTTAGAACACGATGGTATCAACAACGAAAAATCGCTTTAGTTTTAATTCTTATAGTATCTCCTGTGGTATTATTCTTCATATTGTACGGCGTATTGTTCGGTTTCCATCGAAGCATAATTTATCCCAAAACAGCATCTAAAGGTAAGGACATTAATAAAACTGTAATCAGTGTACAATCGATTTAAACACCTCATAAATTATTAATGTCATTTCAATCTACGAAATGAATTAATTTACGAAATATAATTCCTCGAAAAATTTCCGCGAACCTCGAACAGACAAATTATTCAAATTGTTTTGCGTTGTTATTTTACAATAGAATTTTTAACGAATAGATAAGATATTTAATTATTTGTTTACACTGATATCTCCGTATTGCATATTATTATTATAATTTAACTGTTAAAACACTCGTAGAATCAAGGTTGCAGGATCTCGTTTGTTTTGTACATTTAGATAAGATTATATGCAATCGATTGCTCATGTGTTAATTTATTTTTCTTTCGCAGTGCTCTCGGAGAATCTTCATCGAGCCATCACGTACAGCTTGAGCATACCCAACGGTACCTACGATCCCTCTATTCACTTTAAAGTACCCAAAAAGATACAAATAACGAAATACAAATTGGTTTGTTACTATAGTTTGCCGGACGATCAGGGTTCTTTGCAAATCGATCACCTAGATCCGCATTTGTGTACACATATCAATGTAGCATTTGGTAGAGTAGTAAATAATTCGTTATATCTAACTGATTATAACAAGGAGTGTTTGAAAAAAATCGTTAAATTGAAGCAGGTCAACAATGATTTGAAGGTGCTAGTGAGCGTAGGTGGAGCCGGTGATGTTGAAAATGGTTTTCCGGAGATGGTTTTGAACCATACGAATAGAAAAACGTATGTAAAAATGAGTTTGTGTGTTCATTAAATACGTTATTCGTTGTAGTTTCATAAAATCGGTGGTGTCCTACGTGAGGGAGTTCAATATAGACGGGATCGATTTGGACTGGGAGTTTCCTAACGTGAACAACACGGAAGACAAACGGCAGAAAGTGCATTTCACGCAACTGTTGGAGGAAATCAGGAAAAGCATTAATAGACAAAAGAACCAGCAGTATCTTTTAACCGTAGCCGTGGCTGCTCCGTTGACGCTCATCGCGCAAAGCTACGATGTGGCTTATATGAACGAGTAATGAGGCTCAAAATGATTGGCGAAATATATCATTCATTTCGATACGTTTTCAGTTACGTGGACTTCGTGAATTTGATGTCGTACGATTACCATTTCTACACGAAATGGACCCCTTTCACTGGATTCAACAGCCCACTGTACGCCTCCGATAACGAAGTATTCATATTCGGTACTTTGAACGTCAATTATTCAGCTAACGTTTGGTACAACCTCGGAATGGATCGATCGAAGATTATCGTAGGGCTCCCCATTTACGGCCATACATTCAGGTATATTGTAACCCCCTTAATCAGCCAATCTATTAATTCCAAATATTTCACAGATTAACGAACCCCAAAAACAACGGACTGTACGCCCCGGCTTCGGGTTACGGCCGATTAGGCTCGTTGGGCTTCGCCGATTACCCGGACATTTGCAAGTTCCTGGCCCTCAATCAAATTTCCCCCGTATTCGACATGGAGACGAAGAGCCCTTACGCCTCCAAGTTCTACGAGTGGGTGTCCTTCGAGAACACGCAGAGCCTCACCTACAAAGCGGAGTACATAAGAGACCAGCAATTCGGCGGGGCCATGGTGTGGAGCCTTAACGCGGACGATTACAAGCTTCATTGTCAGGCAGAGGGCGCTGTTAAAGGGAAGTTTCCTTTGGTGAATAGCATCAGAAACGTGCTATTTGGATCTTAATATACAATTTATTCCGCTTGTAATGATACTAGCTTGTGTACTAGTACTAGTTATCATTACTTGCGATTTGCGTACTCTATTTTATCTACGGCTGTTTCTACATACAACGAATAATGCCAAAAATAACCTTCGTGAATGACTATATTCGTTTATTTGTGATTTACTTAGACTTAATATAGAAACAAAATTATTTTGGGATAGCTGTAGATGAATAGGTTAATACGTTGAAGGCAGTATTAGGTGGAGTTTTTGAGACAGTATTTTCAAAAATTCAGTTTTTGAATTGATTGTTTCAATTCGGAATGTTCACTGAATCTTAATTGGTAACTTTACAATGTGATTATTTTCTTATGTGAGACTTATTTGATACAATTCGTTTACCTTTTTATTTTTGTATTTACGAGTGTACAAAACATGGTGCAAATTTAGGATAACATTTATTAGAACTAACGATTTTAGTTAGAATTTTGTTATTATTTATTTATAAAAAATTTAATGGGATCAAAAAATTTTAGGAAACCACTTTGTATCACGCCTTTAGTTCTCATAACATCTATTAAGTAAAAACTATTTTTTTAGATTAGTAACACATTTTTATTTCAATTTATTTATAGTAGATAACTTATAGGAAATCATAATTTATTTACATTAAGAGCTAATTTACAGGCAGATGCAAATTTGTACGCAATATTCCACTACAAACAATTTTACATCTTCCACTTACCTAAAATCAATACCAACCTTATTCTATAAGGACAAAAGTTACCAAAATATCCACCCCAATGGATGTCATTTTTGTTACCAAACTGTTCTCCTTTTATCGCAGAAGGGGGAAACAGCCTTCTGAGATTTAGGGACCGTAATTAAATGTTTTCAAACAAATAATTTTGTATTTTCGCATTATATTTCAATGAAAACATTCTGCGAAGCTGTGGGGTTTTTTATTTACGTGATATTTTCTCATTATATATTACACAGTGTTAGAGCAAATTTATTTCTTTCCATTTGTTTATGTTATTAAAATAAACTTAATACCAATGAATGTTTTAGTATTTTTTTAAACAATGCATTTGTGGAAATTACTACAAAACGGCAGAAAGTAATAATTCTACGTATTAATATCGTAGTTATGCAACACTTTTTACACTTTTCACTTAATTTGGTTCTTCTGTAGTTAATCTTCGGGTCTCTTACTATTGTGAATGTTCAGCAACTTCTAAATGCATCGTCTACTCGACTGCCAGTCAACCAACATTACGGTGGGGTGGAAATCTGCAATATATTTAATTGCAATGAAGAATAAAGTATTAAATCTCACCTATTTATTTGTTTAATTTCCATTTTCCGCATGAAAGTACACAAATATTCGTCAACGATTTTAAATTTGCAACGCTCACTTTGCGAATCGAATTATTCGCAATGAACTCGATCGGAGGATTTTGAAATGATTGTAGGTCACAGCGGTTTTTTCATATCAAATTTATGGTACTTTGTGCGAAGTGTGTTTGCTCTCGATTATAAAAAAAAGAGTAGGCGGTAAGAGTCGCGAATTTTAGTTCAGTTGCGATTTAAAAGATGTCGCCAGGCGTAAATTCGCACGTACCTCCAGATCTCATATGTGCTGTGTTTTAAGTTCGAATGGTTTTTTGGCTATTTTCTACAAAGTTTTAAGGGTTTTCGTCTGTGAAATTGAGGAAAATGGACATTCGAGCGTCGGTGGGAAGAGCACGATGTTAATATTGCGGATATTTTAGTGCGAATTTTCTCTTTTTTAGGTAAGTGTTCCGTAGATTTTCTCTTGACCTAATTTGCTATTTTTGGCCAAAATATTTGGCATTTTTACAGTATTTTTTGATAAAATTGTTCCGAAAACGTCGATATTTCATCCAAAGAAACGCTACTCGCGAAAGTGCTGTGAATTATCCCCGAACGGTAAAAGAAAATTTTTAGGTTATTTTTCGTTTGAAACTTACATTACTCGCTCAAACTTGTCTTTTGAACCAATTTGGAGCGTGCACACTTACATTACTCGTACAAAATACATTTTCCTTTAATTCGCCTATAATAAATTACTCGCAAAAAGCCGTGTATCTTCATAATTTATTTAATTATGTAATGGTTATAGATACGATTTTTTTGGTATTTATCTTCCTTTATTTTATCTTTATTAATAGTTTTTGAAGGATTAGGAGGTCCCAATTTGTTCATTATCATCAACAAGCCTAATTTACGTGAGATCTTCCATTGTAAATTACAACAAAATAATTAGTTTATCAACTACATAGAACTTATATCAAATATCAGGTTTACCCTTTATTTAACAGTAAATTTATAAATCTCTTGTTAAATGATTGTTTAATAACTTATTAGCTAGTTTGTAGCCAAATGTTAATCAAAATTGATGAGACATTAGCCGTAAACATTTTTATTTTTATTTGGTTACTTTTTAATGATAATTGTAAATTATTTTTATATTCCATTTTATATTACTAACATATGCTTTGTGGTTTCTTCAGGGTTAAAATATTAACTTTTTTACAAATTAGGCTTTCACCTTTTTGCTATTATTGAGTTTGTATTAAAATAAAAAATATTAACAATACTCCATAAATAAATATCTATACCTTCTTTAAGCTATTATAACTACTTTACACAACTCATATTCTATTTCCTTTATAGGATTTTCAAAAAACGAAAAGAGCCGAAATATTACTTCAATTTTTAATAAGAATTAGTATCTACTCATTATCAATTAATAATCATTTTATTTCCAGATTATTATCCACTTCGAAATACGGTAAGTAAGTAAAATTATTCACTCATTTAACCCTTTATTAACCAGCAAAATAACCCACAAATTCTCCCCACACTCCATTCATTTACCCCATTTCAATGCCTAATAGATAAATTTCTACGAACCTCCATTAGACTGGCATAGTATAGAAAAACTGGCCCTATAGAAAAAGGGCTCCACCGAACCTTAGACAAATATTGGTTAGGTAAAGCGCCTAGGGTTCCTTTCCTACGGTAACACCCCGAAATTTGTTAACAATGGCTGACTGCCGTTGCCCTACGAATTTCTATGAATAATAATTTTTTGTCCAACCCATCGTTATTATATAGGTTGATTTAATTGTACTTAAAGCGTATTCTATTTACTCTAATTAGGTACTAAAAAGCATTGGAAAAATCTTGAAGATTATCAGAATTTTTGGTACTAATAAATGCTATGTTTGAGTTGCAAATAACTGAGCTAAAGTAGAATTTGTTTGAGGATATTTTTTTAAATTAGATTTGATAGACTTTTAGTTAATTATTCTGTAAAAAGTATGAGTAAAATTCAACAAGAGTAATTTAAAAGAGCCAATTATTTATAGAGTTATTTTTCTAAAATTGGGCTATTAATTTTATAAACCGTTTGAACCGATTTAATTCATCCCGTTTTCCCACGAGAAAACCGACCCCTCGCTTCCTAAAAAAAAAAATTAATAATCGAAACAGGTCTTCGGAAAAATCTGGAAAAATTTTCCCCTCCTGTAACCGGCGTCGGGCAGACAGAAAAATTCCGCAAAAATGGGCCGTGTGCGCGCCAACATAATCAGCCTTCACGGCCCGACTGGTTTCCTTTTTACGCGACGGGACCCCGTTGCACCTGATTTTTTCCTTTTCGGATTCAATGCGAGATATTTGCGATGGGGTACGGGGTACTATTTAGCTCCATTTCGTGGGAAATGCGACGGCTCAAACAGCTGGACGGGATGCTGATGCCCGTCTACCATATAACGCCATTATGTGCCAGTACTATTTTTTAATTCCTCGAACAATGTCCGGCCGGTTGATTGCGAGGGGATGGATTCCTAAAAATCGCCCCGGATTTGAATTTGTATGGAAATTTCTTAGGATTCAAACCCATTGACTGACTTGCATCTTTTATTGAGTTAGTGCAAAATTAATTTGTTGTTACTGCGCCATATTATCGGGTTATTGTTAAATTTTTAGCCCGGCTAAGTAAATGTAATTGAATTAAAAAAAAACGTAAATAATAACTTAGATATTTTCCGGTCGCGTTTTCCTCGAGACTAGACTAGAAACAGACTTTTCCTACCTCGTGCCGCTGCGGATCAATAAATAGGAACGTTTCAGCAACATGTGGAACATTCGACTTGAAATAAGGGTGGAATTGTATACTGCAAACCCTTTTTTAACCTCGGAATTACCCGTAGAAAATAACGTTTCCTGCGTATTTTGAGTGCCAGTAATAATTTAAAAATAAGCAGAGAGTTTGAGGCTTTTTTTTGGAAGGGTTTTTGGTGGATTTTTAAGGTTGCAGGGGGCGATTATGGAGGGTATATTTGAGAGATTATTAGATCGTTTTAGGAGAATTATGGGTTTATTTTATAAGGATTACGAAGGTTCTTTGGGAGATGAGTTTTCTTTAGGAATAATGAAGTTAATTTGTAGGTTTCTTTTAAGGTTTCAGGAAGATTGTAGGTTCATGTTCTTGTAAGGGTTTGTAAAGATTATTTGGAGAATTGTGAGTTATTCGCTTGAAGGAAAATATGAGGTCATTTTTAGGGTATTATGAGTTTCATTTAGGAATCATGAAGGTTCTTTTTAGGATTGTAAGATTACTTGAAGAAAACTACGATGTATCTTTGGTGGATTATGGAGATTGTGGGGATTATGCAAGTGAATTTAGGGTATTACAAGTTTGTATGAATGCAAGCCTGTAAAAAAAAACTGCGATATATTTCCCTTTTTGTGCGGCAACGTTGCGAGTTTGGGGCGATGCGAATCAGAAGGAAACTTTTCGCGCTACCCGCGAGCAAAAAGGAATTTCCCGATGGCGCCGGGGTAGAAAACCAGAAGTGGTGTTGTATGTGTGTGCATGCAGGCGCATCGTCCGTAGCCCAGGTGATAGCCAACTTGTAGACAAAAGGCGATCCTCGTCGAGCGTCCGCTTCGGGAAATGTAGAGGAAAGGAAAAACAAGCCCGATTG